CCTTCCTCCCTTCCTTCCTTCCTTCCTTCCTTCCTTCCTTCCTTCCTTCCTTCCTTCCTTCCTTCCTTCCTTCCTTCTTTCCTTCCTTCTTTCTTTCACATTTTGATGAACTAGAATACTTAAATGTCCGCTTTATGTTATACAAATCCACTTCAGTAAGGCTTATCTATGGACATATATTATGATATAGGCAATTTCATGTCTGAAAGTGCTGAAAGCTTCAGCTTCTCTAAAGCAACGTGGTGTGAAAGAGGAAAAAAGAATCCATCCAGAGAAGCACAAAGATGGAATTCTCTCCAGCCCCATTACCTGAGTGTCAGGCGCTGCCCGGGCCTTCCTCTTGGAATGCTGGGAGGCTGCCCTGGGATCCCGGAGACTGTCTTCGTCAGAGGTGTCCACGTCAGCCAGGTACTGTGAGGGGGGCTGTTTACCTTTGACATTATCTATCCCTTTGGAGAAAGAAGGGGTTCGAATTGGAGTGAAGGGACATGTTTGCTCCAATGAGGCAAAGTGAGCTGTAGCCACATTCCATGAGGGTTTGGGAAGATTCTTGGGTTATAGACCTGTGGATCCCACATACACCTTCAGGAAAGAGGCCCCTGGCAGCCTGGATGGCCTGGTGGCATGGGGCGTGAGAGTTGAGGAGCGTAGATATAATATAATCCTAAATTGCAAATAGCACCAGATTCCACACATGTACAGGGCAGGGCGTAGCTTTGGAAACCTTTTCCATACCACTGTGGCCACTGCTGATCATCTTTCAGTCACAGAGCCTTGTGGGTAAGAGTCCCCTGCAGAGTGGCTTGAACAATTCTTTCTGAGCCATAGGGCGAGGTGACTCCGTCTTATTGTATCTCACCCACAATTACCCACCACATCTGCTTGGCCCAAATGGCACCTCACATAACAACAGAGAGACCAGGAAGGAGGTACACAGTGGTCCCCTCCAGAAAGTTCAGGGAACACACTTTGCCTGTGTCAGATGCTCAGCAGGTCCCACCCTGTGCTATGAATCCTGCCCAGAAACTGCTTGAGTGACATTGCAGCCCCCTCAACACAGCCTGGGAGACCCTGTGCCAAGGATAGCCCAAACCCAGCAGCCCATACCCTGACTCCCTGTGAGATCACACTTGTCATTGCTCATTTGGTGATGATTTGTCAACACATATGACAAATCTCATTTAGTCCCTACAACTTCAGGGTGAGTTAGAAATTGCTGCTTTTCCTAGCAAGGACAATGGGGGTAGGAAAACCCTAAGACCTGGTGGCATACCATATCATCATGTCCCTGATCTTGGGAACAGTCTGCTCCATCAAGAGAAGAGCTGGCCACACCCTGGCACTCCTTTCTCATCACCTCCACTGTGATGCCCCTTCTCCTCATCTAAGAGATGCCATGTGGAAAGTCTTGTGTGGGCACCATTGAGTGCTGCTGCCTGGGTTCCAATCTCAGAGCCTCCCAAACAAAAGGGCCTTTGCATGGCATTGCTGGGTCTTTGTCCCTGACTTGCCTCTTCCACATGCTCCAGGGTCACGCCATCATGGGAAGGAATATAAAGTCTTATCAGTGGGCAGGATTATTCACTCACAGTTTTGAAAACAAGTGGAACCCCACTTCTATCCCCAGGACCCCAATCACGGCAAGGGACATGAGGTTATATGGTCTCTAAGGACCCACAGCAAGGAGGCAGGAGTGAACAGGTCTCCCTGCAGCAGCTGCCTGTGTGGGGATGGAAGACGCGGCTGCTGCTGTGACCTCATTTACGCTAATTTTATCCGTGTCTGAACTGCTGAACCCGGCACGCTGGCACCCCTGTGCACAGGAAGAGGCATCCTTGGGGATTCCACTTGGAAAGCTAAACTGTCTGATAAAATCGAATGGATCCTGTTTCCTTCTCTTGCTCTTTGTCTCCTGATGAGTAGCTACAGGCCCCTGGGGGAGACCTGCTCGGCTGCTCTTCCAGTGAAGCTTTGGACTTGGTGGGACTGTAGCCGTTTTGAGGAAATTGGCATGTTGCTACCCTATACCAGTGGCAGTGGACTGGGGAAGACTCAACTTCTTTCTTGGTATTTCCAGATGTTACAGGGGAGCACTGGTCCCAGGGAGGAAAGGGTCTATGAGGTTTGCTGAAGAACAACTGCACTGAAAGAATCAGCCCATCTGTCTATGTAAACTAGAGGGAAGGGCTGGCTTCTTAGGGACTCCTAGGCCCCAGAGCCCCTCAGAAAAGAGGTTGGCTAGGTAGGTACCTACCAGGCATAGCTGTGGTCCCTAGGGCCCTCTTACAGGATGCTCCGGGCAGGTCCAGGCCAGTGTGGGCATCCTCTCTGGAGGGCAAGGGGATGTGTGGCTGCTCTTCTGGACTGGGGTGACACCCCAGGGGCCCTGCATCGGTATCCTCCAGGCCCTCAGGCTCCAGGGAGGTGGTATCCTCAGAGCAGGGCTCCCCTGAGAGGGACTGAGAACACAAGCTGTCAGCGTTGGCTGTCCCAATGTTACCGACTGAACACCAGACAGCCATCTGCTCTGGCAGTGTGCCGTTCATTTCTGTTTCCAAACACTGTGCCAAGAGCATTTACCACCCTTCTGCTTCATGTCTGTGACACCAGGGTTCCCTGGGACACCGTGCCCAGGCACCAGACAGGAGACAGAAGTATTTCTGAGTAGCCAGGAGCCCAGGCTCACTGAAGCTGAAGCCATGAAAGCATTCCTGTGAAGATTTTCCTTCTTTCTTGGGAGAGAGGAAATGGTTACCGTGTCTATTTTAGCAATCCTGGATAGTCAGCGGGTCAAAGGGGGAGGTGAGGTTTCCTGAGCAGATTGCCCTCAGGCTGAGGGGTCTGCATGGAGCCACCGCCCCCAAAGGACCTAGGTATCGAGGGCTCCCAGAAGCCGCTGCTCAGCATCTCCACAGTTTCACCTTGGCTGGTGGGGTGGCGTGGGTTCTGGGGAGGGGGGGGTTGGAGGAGCAGGGCCTATGGCCCAATGTTCCCTTAGGGGCTGGCTCCTATGGCCCCTGCTCTTTGTCCTCTCCTTCCTCGGGGGTCAGAAGGCCCAACCCTCCCTAGCTCAGTCCATCACTGCCTGAGCCTAAGAACTCCTGAAGGGTTCATAACAACGGGACCTGCCGGGTCTCATGCTAGCTCTTGTGTTCACAACTATTTTTACTGCCTATCTGCATGTCTCATGCATGCTGGGCATGGACCCTCATCTCAAAACCAACCCTGAAAGGCAGAAGCTATCAACCTTCTTCCAAATGAGTGGATAAGGTTGCAAAGAATTTCCAAGGACCAAGGTCACATGGCTAATGAACAGACTGTAGCAAGAGTAGGCGTTACACTCACAAGACCAGCCTAGTTTGAGCAATGAAGTGCATGATGTCCCGGTAAGGCACAGGTGCAGCTCAGTGCTGGGTCCTGTCTGGCTCCTTGGTGATGCCATTGTCCATTCTGCCCTCCCAAGTCCTTATTTCTAGGCTGAGCACCAATCCTCACATCCCAAGACCCCAACTAAGCCTGGTCTCAGTTCCTGCCTGCCCCCACCTCTCCAAGTGTTTGCTCAGTATCTTAAGATGCTGGCCTCGGGAGGAAGTGAAGTTTCTGAATCTTATTCTCCCACATCCTGTCGCCAATCGTCTCCCCGTCTTGAGAGCCTATTGGGACCAACTATATGACACTGGGACCCCAAGCGCAACCCCAACTGAGGCCTAAGCGCCTGCCCCTCTGCTCAGGTTCCTAAAAGGAATGGGGGGGGGGGGAGGTGGGCAGATGCCAGAGTGCACTGACCTGCAGGCTGTGTGCAGACTCAGGGACTGTGGACAGGCCCAGGGTATGGCTGCAGGGCTGCATCGCGTGCTCTGGGTCTTCCTCGAAGTCCACATCACTGAAGGAGAGCAGGCGCTTTTTCTTCTCGGGGGGTAAGATAAGCAAGACTGGTCAGCCCCCTGCCTCACACTCGGCCTCCAGACAGTCAGCAGCCTCCCGCAAGGGCACCCACCTCTAGCTGGAAACTGACCCCAAGGAGCCCCGAGGTGGCAAGGGGGCCGAGGAGCCCTCACTGTCCACCCCATCAGAAGTGACAGGGTACCCATGGCTCTAGCTGTGCCCTAAGGAAAGAGAGTTCTGGGCCTGCCAGGGACTCCTGGGGTGGGGGCTGCTGCAGCGCAGAAGGTACCCCACACAGAAGGCTTCCTGGGACTCTAGGTATATGTAGCTCACTGAATGTGGGTGGAGAAAGGTGACCGCTCCATTAAAAAATAAATATATGTTAACATTTCTTTACAACCGCCACCCCTCAATACAATTACTCAGATCCTTTAAATGTATATTTTATTGTAGAATATTGTAGACACTGGCTGGGTTGTATTCTGTCAGCTCAGCAAATGGTGTTGAATCAGATCTTGTTCAAAAGATGACCGAATGTCCCTGGAGCATTTCTCAGATCTGATTCTACAGCCCTGTCACCTTCAAAGGGCTCAAGGCCAAGCTCACACTCTCCAGGCCACTTCCTTCTCCCTCCGACTCATCATTGTCATCCAATCCCCAAACTGAGGCGCTGCCTGGTTTGCCTCCACCACCAAAAGTGATTGAAAAGATACAGGAGAAGAGAAACAACCTCTTATAAAGACAAGTCCCACTCTCACGTGGGTCCCTTGAGCTATCTGGACACAGGCCTGTCTTCCTGCATACTCTCTGTCACAGCACCTGGGTGCCCCAGAACTCCAGTTAGTCAGGCCAGGCCTGGCAGTGGGATTTGTCCATCTGTACCTTGGAGTTTGGCAGTTCTGAAGTGAACACTGGGTTCCCATGCTTGGGAGGGAGGGCCTCAGGAGGGAGGGGCTTCAGGAGGGAGGGCCTCAGGAGGGAGGGGCTTCAGGAGGGAGGGGCTCGGGAGGGAGGGGCTTAAGAAGGGAGGCACTCAGGAGGGAGGTGCTCAGGAGGGAGGGGCTTCAGGAGGGAGGGGCTTCAGGAAGGAGGGGCCTCAGGAGGGAGGGGCTTAAGAAGGGAGGGGCTCAGGAGGGAGGGAGTCCCATGCTGGGGATGAGGAGCCATTGAGGGCACAGAGGTTCCTAGGTGGGTCTGGGGTGGGAGTAGGGGAGAAACGCAGGTCCCTGAGCTATGGGCTGGCTAGGAGGAGGTATAAGGGAGCTGAGAGGCATGAGGACGGGCAGGAGAGGTATGGGGTTTGGGGAGAGAGACAGTGCCAGGGGAGGACTTACTTTGCTGTTAAGGGGCTGTGCCTGGGCCTCCACATCCAGGTCTCCATCCTCATCCGTCTGTTCACTGTCTCCACTGCCTTCCCCCAAGCTTGTCTCAGATCCACCTGCAATACACAGGTGCATGGCTCCACCCTTGGAGGGCTGGACAGGGAGGGAGACCACTTAACTGTGTCTCGATTCATCCTTCCACTCACCTGCCGACTGCCCAGCTGTGATGGTGTGAGTGAGAACAGCCCCCATAAGCTCATATATTTGAATACTTGGTCTCTAGTGGGTGGAACTGTTTGGGAAGGATTAGGAGGCGTGGCCTCGATGGAGGAGGTGTGTCACTGGGGGTGGGCTTTGAGCTTTCAAAAGACAAGTGCCATTCCTAGTTACCCCCTCTCTGCCTCATGGTTGTGTCTCCAGATGTGAGTTCTCAGCTACTGCTCTAGCGCCATACCTGCCTGCCTGCCTGCCTGCTGTCATGGTTTCCACCATGATGGTTATAGGCTCAAAGCCTCTGAAATTACAAGTCCCAAATAAAGTCTTCTATAAGATGGTGTCTTCACAGCAATAGAAAAGTAACTAAGACACCCTCCCTCTCTCCTTTTTTTCTTCTGTTTATATATCCACCTACCCATCCACCCAGCCAAGCACCTGTTCACTGCCATATACCCATCCATCCATCCATCCATCCATCCATCCATCCATCCAGGAACCCTGTATACTGTCACTTTGGCATTTTCACCGCAATGGACTGTTCTAAAGTGAGCCAGGTCTCAGATGGCTCTGGTTCCTCAGGGTGTGTCCTAATTCACAGTGACCCTGTTCAGTTTACAAACACTTTCATCCCTCATCCTGCCTGTGGCTCTGCTGCCTATGAACAACCACCTGGGAAATGCTGGAGGGACCAGCTTCCTGCCTTGTACTGCTGGGCTCCGGGGTCATGGGCCCGGGAGGCTCACAACTTGATTTTTCTCCTTCCCTCTACCAGACATGCCTGCTCAGTCTGAACCTGAGCCTGCAGGGAGCGTGGTGGGCAGAGACGCCTTTGCAGGGCGGCAGAGGGGGAGGGGTCTATGCCAGCAGAAGCAAGCATGCAGGCTGTAGAGGTATCAGCTGACTTCTTGGGGTGACATCAAAAGCCAAGCACCCCCCTCCAGCCTTCAGGATCCTTTTAGGTACGGCTTCTGACTTCTCTCTACACTGAGGACACAGGTCCCAGCTACACTAATCACCTGTCGGGTCAATCATGCTACACAAGTCCAAAGGGTTTCCCACGGTCCTGCCACAGATCAGGGGTGGCCTGACCTCACTTGACCGGGAGAAGAAAACGAAAAGGAAGACAGCTGAGGCCTCACTGTGGAGAGCGAGTAAATCCCGCTGTCTGCCAGGAAAACCTGCACGCAAACACGGGGCTTTGGGAAGGAGGGGGATGCCTGGGTACCTAGCAACAGTGATTGTCCTTCCCTTTCTCACACTGAGGCTGCTCATGAGGAGCCCATGGAAGGCACAGCCTGGAAACAGGCCTCACTGGGGAGGTCTGCAATGACACCGTGGCCGGGCTGGGTCAGCTCTCAGAACGGTGACTTTGCTCCTTCAGTTGGTTTTTTTTCTTTTAAGAAGTCCCCTCCAGTAGGTTGGGGTCATCATACTGTTCATGCAGAGGATCTGGGTTCAGTTCCCAACACCCACACTGGGTGGTGCTGTGGGGTCCACAAGCACCTGTAACTCTAGTTCCAGGTGTTTGGACGAGCTTCTTTAACATCCATGGACACACACACACACACACACACACACACACACACACACACACACACACGATCACACGATTAGTTTTAAAAAATACTGGGGGCTAGAGAGGGGCCTCAGTGGTTAAGAGGACTGACTGCTCTTCTAGAGGACCTGGGTTCGATTCTCAGCACCCACGTGGCAGCTCACAACTGTCTGTAGCTCCAGTTCCAGGGGACCCCCCCGCACCTGCACAGACGTACATACAGGCAAAACAGCAATGTACATAAAATTTAAAAAAAAATCTTTTAAAAAGAATAAAATAGAAGAAAGCGCCCTCTCCTGACTGCGTCTTGCCCTGCTCTGTTTACAGGAGCCCAGCAGGGGAGAATGAAGCTTTGGGATCCCTGGGCAGAGATCTGAGATCTGCCTCAGCTGACTTGCTGGGACTCCTCGCAAGGACGTGCCTCTATGTTGTATTTTGTTGTCCCACAGCGCCACCTCCTGGGAGCGTGGCAGGTTATTGCAGGCAGGAAGCCTTAATTTCCACAGCTGGCAAGATGGCTAAGCCGAGTCCTCAACACCATGGTGTAAACTGAGTCCTCAACAGGGTGTAAAATTTTAGAAAGATAAGATTCACATAAAACAATGACTTCAAATATTGGGGATGTTTGCAGCAAGCTGGAAACCCCAGGAGGCTGGAACATGACTGAAGGCTCCAGAAGTCTGTCTCACACAGAAGCCAGCCAACCACGCTCTTAATGGTTCATCACCATCAAAGCATGCCTGGCACATGCCCAGGCCAAGTCCTCGCCGCCGCCGCCTTACCTCCGCCCTGCAGCCGCCCACAGAGGGACCGGATCACTTTGGCACTCCCGAAGCGCTTGAACCGTGCTCTCACGTGCTGGTAGTACCACTCCAGCGAGCCAATCTTCACGACTCTGCCGGGAGATGAGTGCAGGCCTGAGGCAGTGTCTCCCCCTTCCCCGGCCAGACCCACCAAAGGGACACACCAGCCTCAGACACCACGAGGGACGCTCTGCCTCCAGGCTCACCTGGCCAAGTGGCAGGGGTCACAGAGCCAGCCCTGCTCTTCTGGGTGGACGTGGCTGCAGCTTTTGCAGACGAAGAGGCCACACTCTCGGCACTGCCGTCTGCTGTTCACCAGGAGCCGGTAGGGCTGCAGGCAGCGGGCACAGTGGGTCTCATTCAGGTGGGCTGTGTCCGACAGCAGCTCTCTCTTCGAGCTCTCCTTCTGTATCTTGCCCTTCAGTTCCCTGGGGAAAATGCAGGAACAAGAAATACATCAGACACCGGCTTCTATATCAGGTGTGTGAGTGCACACAGTGTGTGCATAGACACACACACACACACACACACACACACACACACACACACATACACACACACACAGGGCACTTTCATATGCAGAAGGCAGTGGCCCAGACGGATGGAGGGCACTCTTGGGCATCCTGACCATCAGCAGAGCGCCTGCTTGCCTTCTTTCTGGAGGGGATGAATAGGTTGGGCTTAATCATATACAATTTTGGTAGGCTAGAGTCGAAACCTATGATTTTCACAGAAATGGCACTGCCCTTTAAGCGTTGCTGTGGCATTATGATTGTACATTATGCCCTCTCTTGTGGATCAGAGAATCCCGAGGCAAGGCCAGGTGACATTTCCTCAACAAGTGGTTTTGGGTGTCTTCCAGCAAGCCCCAAGCTGAGGCCCAGGATTGTTCCTGCAGAGCCTGACCAAGGTGCTTGGCTTGGAGAGTCTCCAGACAGGAATCACCCTGCACCCACCCGGAAGTCCCAGGAGAGAAACTTGTTCTTCGAGACCATCCGGTTTAAAATAACACAGCTTCCTGGCAAGCCTGCCAAGTGGAACCAGCTGCAGTGGACTGGAAGATGTACCCCAGATCCTAATGAATGCACCCCTTCTGTTCTGAGTTTCATGGACTACCTGCCAGACATAATATTTTTAGTTTTAGGTGGGATAATGGTAATCTGTCCTTACTGAGAAAAATTAGCGAGACACTGGGTCCACTGTCTCCTGAGGACTTTCAAGTTTTCAGTTTCTGTGGGGACACCCCAGTGTGTGTGTGGGGTGGTGGTGAGGGGTGCTGGGAGGTTAAATTTGGCTTGAAGTGGAAGAAGGGAGAGAGAGAGAGAGAGAGAGAGAGAGAGAGAGAGAGAGA